TCTGATTACAGTAAGTTTTGCATTTCCTTTGGAAATCAAGGTCCCAGAGTCTGGAGGAAGAGAGGAGACACAGAATTCACATTGTTTGAGGTCCAGTGTCAAGTTTCCACAGTCACTGGGGTGTCATGTCATCTGCTGGTGTTGGTCCACTGTGTTTTATCAAGGGCAGGGTCAATGCAGCTAGCTATCAGGAGATTTTGGAGCACTTCATGCTTCCATCTGCTGAAAAGCTTTATGGAGATGAAGATTTCATTTTTCAGCACGACCTGGCACCTGCTCACAGTGCCAAAACCACTGGTAAATGATTTACTGACCATGGTATTACTGTGCTCAATTGGCCTGCCAACTCTCCTGACCTGAACCCCATAGAGAACCTGTGGGATATTGTGAAGAGAAAGTTGAGAGACGCAAGACCCAACACTCTGGATGAGCTTAAGGCCGCTATTGTAGCATCCTGGGCCTCCATAACACCTCAGCAGTGCCACAGGCTGATTGCCTCCATGCCACGCCGCATTGAAGCAGTCATTCATGCAAAAGGATTCCCGACCAAGTATTGAGTGCATAACTGAACATGATTATTTGAAGGTTGGCGTTTTTTGTATTAAAAACACTTGTCTTTCATTGGTGGGATGAAATATGCAAATTTTTTGGGACAGGCTTTCATGAGCTGTATGCCATAATCATCAGTATTAAAACAATTAAAGACCTGAAATATTTCAGTTGGTGTGCAATGAACCTGAAATATATAAAAGTTTCATTTTTATCATTACATTATGGAAAATAATGACCTTTATCACAATATGCTAATTTTTTGAGAAGGACCTTTATATATATATATATATATATATATATATATATACACACAGTATATATATATATATATATATATATATATACCCAGTATATATATTTTTTTTGTGTGTTTGTTTTGTTTATTTTACATGCACATAGATGTTTAACAACCCGTTAAAATACACCAAAATGCTGGAAATTGCATCTACTTTATTCAAACTTTTCTTGGGGAGGACCCCCCATCCTGCCCTGCCGGCCCACTATTTGCGTAACGGCATCATTTACAAATGCTGCCCTGTTACTTGGTCTGACTGCTGCTGTTCTGATTCTGTTCAGTTTTATGTAAAGAGTTTCTGTAATAGGACAGTAGGACCACGCTTTCCACAGAACAACTGTGTCAACTCTTGAAACTGTGCCTGCAGTCAACCTACTTCACATATGGGGAGCAATATTATAGGCAGAAACATGGGTGTGCTATGGGGTCTCCAGTTTCTCCTATTGTTGCCAACCTGTACATGGAGGAGGTAGAAAAGAGAGCCTTGATGTCCTTTTCAGGGACACCACCAAGTCATTGGTTCAGGTATGTTGACGACACCTGGGTTAAAATCAAATCTCAGGAAGTCCAATATTTTACTGACCACATCAACTCTGTGGATAAATACATCAAGTTCACACGAGAAGATGTAAAAAATGGCAAGTTGGCTTTCTTGGACTGTGAGGTCTCAGTCTCTGATAGAGGACATTTGCAAACTGAGGTGTACCGCAAACCCACCCACACAGACCAGTATTTGCAGTTTGACTCCCATCACCCTTTGGAGCACAAGTTAGGAGTTATCAGGACTCTGTATCACAGAGCAGACAGCATCCCCACTAACTCAGGAGCCAGGCAGAATGAGAAATCCCACACAAGACAGGCTCTAGAGCAATGTGGATATCCTAACTGGGCCTTCCTGAAAGCAGAGAAGAAACCCAAACAGGACTCCAGTCAGCCAACAGGTGAAAAGGAGGAACCCAGACCCAGACCAGTGGTCATTCCATATGTTGAGGGAGTATCAGAGAAACTGAGACGTTTATTTTCTAAACATAGCGTCCCAGTGGCTTTTAAACCCCAAAATACATTACGGCAAAGACTGGTTCATCCCAAAGATCCAGTCCCCCGGCACAAACAGAGTAATGTTGTGTATGCTGTTCAGTGTCAGGAGGGCTGTGATCAGTCTTACATCAGGGAAACAAAACAGCCACTGGCCAAAAGGATGGCCCAGCACAGAAGATCAACATCATCAGGCCAGGACTCTGCGGTCTACACTCATCTCCAGGCCAGCACACAATCCCCCCTCCCCCATTAATAATAATAAAATAAATAACTTTAAAAGTGGAATAATAAAAGTGCAGACAGGGATAATGTTTAGTTTTATTTTATTTTTTTTGTTATTCAGAAAAGCAACCGTCTTGTGTATAACTGCATTTCTTTAGTATGCGATGAAGAAAAATGACAAAAGGAATAATAAATTTTTTCCAAGATAGATCAGTTGCATTAATCGTTGTTAAAGAGATGATAAATCTTTCCATCCTGGACATGTTTCAAACTAAACGTTTGACCTTAACTAATACTACAGGTGCCTCCAAGCTTTTCAGCAGACATTCAGAAATACAAACCAGATTCCAAAAAAGTTGGGACACTAAACAAATTGTGAATAAAAACTGAATGCAATGATGTGGAGATGGCAAATGTCAATATTTTATTCGTAATATAACATAGATGACAGATCAAAAGTTTAATCTGAGTAAATGTTACATTTTAAAGGAAAAATATGTTGATTCAAAATTTCACAGTGTCAACAAATCCCTAAAAAGTTGGGACAAGTAGCAATAAGTGGCTGGAAAAAGGAAATTGAACATATAATGAACAGCTGGAAGACCAATTAACACTAATTAGGTCAATTGACAACATGATTGGGTTTAAAAAGAGCTTCTCAGAGTGTCAGTGTCTCTCAGAAGCCAAGATGGTAAGAGGATCACCAATTCCACCATTGTTGCACAGAAAGATAGTGCAGCAATACCAGAATGGTGTTACCCAGCGTAAAATAGCAAAGACTTTTAAGTTATCATCATCAACCATGCAAAACATCATCAAAAGATTCAGAGAATCTGGAACAATCGCTGTGCATAAGGGTCAAGGCCGTAAAACTCTACTGGATGCTCGTGATCTCCGGGCCCTTAAACGTCACTGCACCTCAAACAGGAATGCCACTGTCAAGGAAATAACAGAATGGGCTCAGGAATACTTCCAGAAAGCATTGTCAGTGAACACAATCCACCGTGCCATCCTCCGTTGCCAGCTGAAACTCTACAGTGCAAAGAGGAAGCCATTTCTAAGCAAGCTCCACAAGCTCAGACGTTTGCACTGGGCCAGGGGTCATTTAAAATGGAGTGTTGCAAAATGGAAGACTGTTCTGTGGTCAGATGAGTCATGATTTAAAGTTCTTTATGGAACACTGGGACGCCATGTCATCCGGACCAGAGAGGACAAGGATAGCCCAAGTTGTTATCAACGTTCCGTTCAGAAGCCTGCATCACTTATGGTATGGGGTTGCATGAGCGCTTGTGGCATGGGCAGGTTGCATGTCTGGAAAGGCACCATTAATGCAGAGAACTATGTTCAGGTTCTAGAACAACATATGCTCCCATCTAGACGTCATCTCTTTTAGGCAAGACCCTGCATTTTTCAACACGATAATGCCAGACAACATTCTGCAGTAATCGCATCATGGCTACGTAGGAGAAGGATCCGGGTACTGAAATGGCCAGCCTGCAGTCCAGATCTTTCACCTATAGAGAACATTTGGCGCATCATAAAGAGGAAGGTGCGACAAAGAAGGCCCAAGACGATTGAACGGTTAGAGGCCTGTATTAGACATGAATGTGAGAATGTGTTCCTATTTCTAAACTTGACAAACTGGTCTCCTCTGTCCCCAGACGTCTGTTGAGTGTTGTAAGAAGAAGGGGGGGGGGGGGGCACACAGTGGTAAAAATGGACTTGTCCCAACTTTTTGGGGATTTGTTGACACCATGAAATTTGGAAACAACAGATTTTTCCCTTAAAATGATACATTCTCTCAGTTTAAACTTTTGATCTGTGATTTGTGTTCTATTCTGAATAAAATATTAGATGTTGGCACCTCCACATCATTGCATTCAGTTTTTATTCACAACTTGTTTAGTGTCCCAACTTTTTTGGAATCCGGTTTGTACAACCTCAGTTGAAAACAAAGTCCATGCTCAATAATCCAGGTATAAAATCCAACATTTTTCAGTCAGGTCATCTGGACAGTTTCTTTTTTTGTGCTGAAACATTTTGCCTTTGATCCGGAAGGCTTCATCAGTCAAGGAAACGCACAACAAAACTGATTCTTCCTACAACAGCTTACTCCAAAGTGGAACAAACCAGTTCTGCTTGTGATTAGATGGTCTCTTTGGTACGCCCCTACTCCATTGCCGGCCCTCTTCCTTTTTTACAGTCTTGTCAAACTGGTTGAAAACAACAAAGTCCGTGCTCAATAATTCAGGTATAACATCCAGTCAGGTCCAGATGACCTGACTGAAAAATGTTGGATTGTATACCTGGATTATTGTGCATGGACTTTGTTGTTTTCAACCAGTTTGACAAGACTGTCAGCAAGGAAGAGGGCTAGCAATGGAGGAGGGGCGTACCAAAGAGACCATCTAATCACAAGCAGAGCTGGTTTGTTCCACTTTGGAGTAAGCTGTTGGGGGAAGAATCAGTTTTGTTGTGCGTTTCCTTGACTGATGAAGCCTTCCGGATCGAATGCGAAACGTTTCAGCACAAAAAAAGAAACTATCTAGATGACCTGACTGAAAAATGTTGGACAACCTCAGTCGTACAGATATTGTAAAAAAAAAAAAAAAACAGTGAAATCACCAAACATTATTCAGGATCACCTTGAAGGTCAAAGTGTGTAGCTTTCTGATGACATCATTTGTTACATTTTGATTTGTAACGATCAAAGGGGCTTAAGCCCCAAAGTTTCTAAGAGGATTTCCAGAGACAAAACTGAAACTCCTGCTCTAGTCACATCAATTATGTTTTTATTATTATAGTAAAAGGTTTTCAACGTTTATTCATGTCATATTCATATTTTTAATATTCTGCTGACACTTTGATTGAATCTATTTGTCTCATTGAACAGTGTTCTCACAAACGGACGTTGTTGGAAGTGGTGCAACAGTTCATCCAATCAGTACAATCAAGTCAGTCTTTAGATATTGGTAAGTTCATTCACCACTTCTCTCATTCACTGCTTCTAACTGGGTTTTTCCTACAAAGTGGGTTCCAGTTCCATACCAGAACTGAAGCTAGTTCTTAGCAGGTTTTATGAAAAAATGTTAAAACTTGACAATTTTTAATGTAAAATAATATTTAGATATACCTCCTTTGGGAAGTCAAACCAATTCAAGATGGCCACCGCTGCTAAATTGATTTTGGCAAACACGCAAAAAAAATTTTTTTCATTCAAACTTTATTTATACAGGTTAATCCCATTGAGCCTTGAGGACTCATTTACAAGAGAGACCTGATTTTAACAGAGTGATAACAGTTGACAATCATAAAAGAGGCATACAGCTTTTTTTTCTTCTTTTTTTTACTAATTAAAATAAGATGGCAAAAAAAGTAACTAAAACAGCTAGATTATAAGGTGAATGTAGAAAACTAAAAACAGGAACATGTCTGCATTGGTTCTTGTCAGGAGTCCAACAGATTCTTAAAGTCACTTAGAGAGGTCAAGGTCGAGAGCTTCAGGTCTTTTTGCAAGATATTCCAGGAAACAGGAGCAGAGTAGGAGAAGGCCGCTTTGCCTAGTTCAGTTCGCACTGAGGGAACACTGCAGGTAATAATGTCCTGACAGCGCACGCTGTAGCTGCACTCACGCAGAGACAAGTAGGAGGAGATGTATGAAGGCAGCAAACCAAGAAGTGATTTAAAGATGAAAATGTACCAGTGAGAGAGTCTGCGTGAAGTTAATGATGTCCAGTTAACCAGTGAATACAGGGAGCAGTGGTGGGTACGCTAATCACAGCCAGCTATGAATCTTAGTGCACCATGATAGACAGCATCCAACATCTACATGGTGCTTGTAGGAGCATCATGTAAATTGAGCATGCATCAGGATATCATGTAAATAATTTCACCATAATCAATGGAGGGAAGGAAGGTCACAGTTACAAGGTGTTTCCTTGCATTCAGAGTTAGACTGGAGCTGTTTCTGAAAAAGAAACCCAGTTTAACTTTCAGTTTCTTTACTAGGTTTTCCACATGAAGCTTAAAAGAGAGATGCGAGTCGACCAAGATACCCAAATATTTGTAGGAATCAACAAATTAAATGGGGACATCATTTGAGGATAAAATCGGAGGAAGAACTGCTGGGACTGACTTCCTATTTGAACACGGCATCCCTTTGGTTTTATCAGCATTTAAGACAAGTTTGAGGTGGAACAAATCTGACTGGATGATGTCAAATGCGGAATGCAAAAGCTGGAAAACATTAGCAACTGTTTTAGCTCGACGATAAACAACTGTGTCATCAGCATAGAAATGTATGGATGCGTCAAGGATGCTCTGACCTGCATTACCTATGTAGATTGTAAAGAGGGTGGGTTCTAAGACTGAGCCTTGAGGTACACCATTGTTGACTGTTAAATAACTGGAGGAAGTACCATTATGTTGAACACATTGCCTCTAGTCTGAGAGATGGTTAGAGAACCAACCAATGGTGTGTTCTGAGAAACCGATTTCTGAGAGCTTATGGCACAAGATGTTATGATCCACAGTGTCAAAAGCTTTAGACAGGTCTAAGAAAAGTGCAGCACAATAATCCTTAGCATCCAGTGCTTCAACAATGTCATTAAGAACCTTCAGTTAAGCAGTCATTGTGCTGTGTTGTTTCCTGAAACCAGATTGAAGGTGAGGTAAGATGTTAAATGAGTCCAGGTAATTTTTGATTTGAGAGTTTATCAGTTTTTCTAGAACCTTGACTAACATGACTAACTCTGCCATTGTTGCAGATATTGAGCTAAAGCTTTGTGTGGTAGTAGCTGAGTCATCACCAACACATAATTTAAGGGCTAACAATGCCCCCTCGTCGTTCAGCCTCTGAGCGACCCATGAAAGGAAGGCCTCATGTTTGGCTCCTGAATCTGGAGTCCACTGGGCTGGAGGCTCTTCTTTTGTCTCCTGAGGGACACTGTCAGAAAGTTAAAGGGTTAATTATCAATCCACCCTGATCATAAACTACAGTGGTGCTTGAAAGTTTGTGAACTCTTTATAATTTTCTATATTTCTACATAAATCTGACCTGAAACATCATCAGATTTTCACACAAGTCCTTAAAGTAGATAAAGAGAACCCAGTTAAACAAATGAGACAAAAATATTATACTTGGTCATTTATTTATTGAGGAAAATGATCAAATATTGCATAATTTTATTTTACTGAGCAGCCACGTAATGCTTAACAAGAAGACTTGTTTTATATACTGGCATATTATTTTAGGAAGTAAAAGCACAGTTTTGTTTTATCCAACCTGATGTTTGATCGCAGCCTTTTCTCCTATTTGTGCTTTGCTGGTTTTAGAGGAGAGTGTGTTTTTAGAGTACAGAGCAGCTCTGTGCAGCATGGTGTTCTCAGCTCTCTGTGAGAGTAACTCCAGCCTGTGCATCACTGCTGCTTCTGTGCTCACCTCACTAGCACAGCAAACAGGTGAGGAACAAAACAACCTGCACATTCAGCTGGCCTGTCCCAGACATTTTTAACAGCAGTCCTCACCTTGTTCAGGTCTGTTGGTGGATCCTGATGTCCAGCTGGCTGTAAATCATCTGACCAGACAGCTGCTGACAGAGCAGGACGAGAAAGTCAGGTCAGCTCCTGTTACAGGTTTTCATCATCACCCACTGCAGAATAATAATTTATGTGTATGTTATTACACTATGTCATAAACCATTAAACAGGTTATATTGTGCTTGCTCAGGATGAGAGACTGTGACAAAGTGAAGATTCAACACAATCTGCTGCTTCTTTAGATGGAGAACTTCTACTAACTGGTTTTTATAATGAATGTGAATGTTTCTGTTCAGTGCACTGAGATGACTTCTGTTGTGATGGCGCTTTAGAAATAAACTGAACTGAATTATTGTAACTTTCAAAAAGTAACATACAACTGATTAACTCTGGAATAAACTCAATTTTAGATGTCTGACAGCAAAACTGACAGGGAGAAACAAACAAGTAAAACCCACAAATATTGACCATCAGTTTATTTTATTATTAGGTTAGAGCAGTGCTTCTCAATTATTTTCTGTTAAACCCCCCCCCCCCACACACACACACACACACACACACACACACACACAACTCTCCTCTGCGACTGTAAATAGTATAATTTGTCTATAAAACTGTTATAAGTACACCTCTTCATAACATTGTGTCCTTATTAACATTAAAGGAAAAAAAATATAGATCATCTTACAACTAAGAAAAAATTGATTAACATTACTCTGTAACAGAAACAAATTAAAGTGCATCAATTTGCCTGACAAAAAAAAACATTTTTTAAATTGTAAACATTTTTGACCATTTGATATTGAAAAATAAAATATAATCAATAAATAATAATAAATTCAAATTGAGCAGCAACATTTTAACTCATGAGTGTTATATAAAACAATTTGACCTAAAAAAAATGAATAAAACAATTTGTGCTGATTTTTTTAAAATCAAAATGAGGAAGTCAGGATCAATGAGCACACTCATCGATAAAACTAAAACATTTTATCACCGCGAAAGAAGAAGAGTGGGCAGGTGTCGCTCTCGATTTGAGTTCACTCTTTGTTGCATGCGAGCTGTGGGTGACAAGCGTCCAGAGCGTGATGGACACAAATGTATATATTTTATGTCAGAATGTGCTCTTATTGTGAAAGGGACAGATTATAAAATGATCAGATCAACGGTTGTAAATCATTTGTTTTTCTGAGTTTGTTGGAAGACGTAGAGAATAAATCGAGACTCAAAATGTTTTTTGTCTCTTTCTGCCGACTTCCACAAGAGCGTCATAAAAACAGCAGCTTAACTGAGGAGGTGAATATATTTTGTTAGCAAAGAATATAGTCCTAACATTTATTAAACATTACTTCTCTTTGACAAACATTAATAAAACTAAAACACTTTGTCAGCGCGAAAGAGGAAAGAGGGGCAGATGCCACTCTCGCTTGAGTTTACTCTTTGTTGCATGCGCGTTGTGAGTGACGTCCAGAGTGCATGGACATAAACACATGCAGCGGAGGTGTAGGAGTTTATGCGTCAGCTGCTGAGGGGAGAGACATGGCTCATGCATGGCTCCCAAAACTTTATTAATAGTAAGTCTGAGAGATACGAGCAAGCAGCTGCTGGAACGCACGTGACAAAATGAGAATGATGAAAAGAAAAACATCCCTGCGGCAAAAAAAGCATGTTCCCTGAGTCACATGTGCCCCTCCTGGCATTGCCCCGGCCCCCCCAGGGGTGCGTGCCCCACTATTTGAGAAGGACTGGGTTAGAACATGTCAGAGCAGGGTCCGTGTCTGAATAATGCAGAATGCAGGCAGAAGTTGGGATTTAATGAGCTTTAACGGCCATGAAAGAACAAACACTCCCTCAGCTCTGATGTTCTGCCCCCTTTATCCAGCCGTGCACGTCCGCCGACTGCTAATAATTATATAAGCAGTCAAAGCTTAATTTAAAATGTTGGGGTTTTCGGGTTCAGACCTGTAAATACTGTTCATTCGTCGGGTTGAGTGGGGTTCGAAATGATGGCTACGGGCTGGGGCCGGGTCAGGTCAGATTTTTTGGGTCTGAATGCAACTCTACTTTGTGGGTCAAAGATTATCTATGCTGAGTTCAAGGTCACGTGGTTAAAGATCAAAGTCAAAATAGATTTAATTTGATAACCTCAACCTTTGATAACATAGAAATGTCAAACTTCACAGCACCTTCCTTGTCAACAATAATCTTCTTGTTGCTCCTTGTTTGGGCTGCACAGTGGATCAGTGGTTAGCACTGTTGCCTCACAGTAAAAAGCAGACTACAGTTTCCTCCTACAGTCCACAAACGTGCTTTGTAGGCTGCTTTCAGGCCCAGACCTCCCTTCCAAAAGAGATTTGTGATCTCAATGGGATTTGTCTGGTTCAGTCAAAGTAAATAAATGAATAAAAGGCCAAAGGGTCAAAGGTCACTGTCAAACTGGTAAGCCTTAGAAATTTCAACAAGTCAGTTTTGATGCTTTTCCTACTCTTTCAGCTGATTCTGCTTATTTTACTTTTGTTCTGTTTATTACAACTTATTTGTGCTTCTTACCACTTCTCTCTTAACATATTCAGTTTTCCTTTTTATGTTTCTATCTTGTTTTTTTCCTGCTAATTTCATCTTTACTCTGTATTTTTTATATTTGTTTGCTGTTTCCTCTTTTTGTGCTCTTTTCATCTTGTTTTCATTTTCAACTAGGTGTATTGGTAAATTCAAGTAAACCTTAGCTTGTTCAGCAGCTTTCATCAAATCAAAGACCTTTAGTTGTTCAGTTGTTTATACAGCCATAAATCTAGTTCTTGATTGTTCTGTTTTGTTTCTGTCTCCAGTTCTGCAGTTTTAGAATGTGCCGGAGCCTTAGCAGAGCAGCACCCATTGGCCTTCACCACTAAACTGATCCCAAGGCTGAAGGAGGAGATGTTTTCAGGTGAACATTTGTCAATACTGTGCAGAAATTAACATTTAGACAAGAACAACTTTTGCCAGATGTGAATTGTTTTCATTTGTTTATTCATAGGCCTGTCGCAATAAACAAATCAATTAATCGCATGATAAATGAAAATTATCGACCTCATTTTCATTTATCAGCTTTATTGTTTCTTCGCGTCTCTCTCTTTCTACTGAAGACACTGGATGACAAAAAGCTCAACTCCAGTGCTCTTCACTGACCCCTCCCTTTCTCTTTAAAATTCATTTTAACCATCCAAAATTGTGTTTTTGTCTTGTCAAAGCTCCAAAATTCACGGTTGAAACAAATCAACATTTCTTCTAAAATTTGACAATTACCAATTATTGTTAAAAATCAAACAATATTATCGTTTATCGCAATAATTTCCGAGACAATTAATCGCCCAGCAAAATTTGTTATCGTGACAGGCCTATTTATTCACTCGTTCATTCTTGTGTGCAGTGGTGGGCATGGTTCCAGAAATCCGCTAAGAGCATAGCTGACTTTCCATGTAGCGGATTAGCATTGTTGCTAACTTTGAAAACCTTTAGCAGAATTAACTCCTGCTAAATTTGAATCCGGTTAATCCAAGTCCACAAATTTTATTAATTTTTTTTTAAATAGTTCTCCACATTAAAATCATACAGGACATTAGTGATTTACACAGAGCGATGCTATACTACGCTGTGTGGAGCTAATCACCACCCGGTGATGTCACCACCCTCGCAGTGATTTACTGCCTCATATCTACCTCAGACAGTCCCTGAATCATGGTATCAGTTTACAGCCAATAACAGAGACTTTAACATGAATACCAAATGAAACCAGAACAGGAAAATAACATGAAAAACCCATTTCCACTCTCAGAAACATTGCAAACAGTCAGAAACATTGCACATATAATTCCTACCCAGCATGCTCTGCAATGCTCATACTGTCTCTGGGATGTGACTCTCTCACATCTCATACATCTTTACTTTTATACAGATTTATTACAGAGAGAATACTGATGATGACACACAGTAACTTTGTAGTTAGTTTATAAACATAGTTAACCACAAAGAGGATCTCCAAATTGAGTTAATTCATTTTAGTAAATGACACGAGGGAGACGTCCGACAGACATTGAATGCATCACTCTGCTTCATCACAGCAGAGTTCTGTTCTGCCTCTTTGGTTCTGATGGACCGGATTAATTCCTGAAATTTCACGTCTGAACAGGACATGGACGATTCACATGATTTATGAACCGTTTTGGGTTGTGTTCACTTACAACATGATCACTTCACAGTCGTACAGTGTCAGCAGTGTGTAATAAAAGTGCTTTAGCGTTACCTTTCAATAATTTTTTTAGCTGTTTATTGTTACCTAAGCTAATTTTTTTAGTAGTAAATTAGTGGTTATCTAAGCAAATTTTTTGATTAGCCATGCCCACCACTGCTTGCTTGTTTGTGTGTGTAATAGTATTTATCTAAACTTTCAGTAAGCGTAAATGTAACAACTCTCGGATGAGAGACGAAACGTTTCTACATTTTTTTGTTGATTTGCTTTGTTTTGTTTTTTTTGAATGTCCAGAGGACCAGATTTAACTTTTTTAGAAATGTAACAATAGTTTTCCTCTTTGTTAAAAACACCACAGAAGCTTCTGAGCTACATTCCTGTCCTGCAGTGCGTCAGCAGTGTTTAGCTGCTCTGGCAGCGGTTTCCATCCAACCCAGTGTTGTCCAGGAGAGTGCACCTGTCCTACTAGATGTCCTGAGTTCAGCACATGCAGGTATTCTGTTTGTGTCTTCAGCTGGAGCCGTGTCAATAGTGTTAATGCCCTGTCAACACAAGAACAACTTTAGTGAACACATTCACTTTCAGTGTTTCAGAACAAGAAAACCTTGAAACTCCACTCTTGCATTTTCATTTAAACAGCCTAAACACAACCTTTTAAACACTGTGATGTCACAAAAAAACAAACGCTTCAGAAAAAACGTATAGTACACGTGATTAGATAGATGAATACAGGAAATGATGACGTCACAACAGCATTAAAATATATTAATACAAAAACATCAAGTATACATTGAAACAAGCGCTGATGTCTCCACCACTGACAGGTTTCAACAGTGAATGTAGTTTTGAGATGAGTATTTTTCTGGACTGGAATTGAATGGGGATGAGTAAACCTTAATGGGGGGGGGGGGGGGGGGGGGGGTGTCTCTGAAGTTAGAGAAGGTGGGTCTGTGATCGGAAGGTCGCCGGTTCGACTCCTCGGACCGACAACTTCAAAATGTGGGTGGAAAAAGTGAAACACCCACACCTGCCTTCACCCTCACTTGCCCCACTCTGGGCCCTGGAGCAAGGCTGTCAACCCACCCCATCTGTCCCCAAACAGATCTCTGTTGAAAATGAGTCCTCGAGACTCATGAGACTACCTGGATAAATAAAGGTTAAATTAAAAAATAATATTGTTTTGGGTTCAAATGGGTAGAAGTTGCACTGTAAAAGGAAAGTTTTTTTTTTTTTTTTTTTTCCACAAGGCTACCCAGCATGCTTTGCAGCTCCCACACTCTCTCTGGTTCTTTCTCACAGATGCCAAATTTTCCATTGGTAAGTGCGGCTCCACTCGGCTCTCTTCCTCTTGGTTCTTCTCAGGTGTAGGTGATTTGCCACCACAGTGGAGGCTGCCCAGTATGCCTGCTCTGTGGGCGGGATCATAACTGGTCTTTATTTATTTAACATGCACAGGACCAAAGTGCTGTACACATAATAAAACAGTCATACAATCAGACAATAATAACAACAAAGTCAGCATCACAGCTGGTGTCAAAAGGCCAGTGAGAAGAGATGGGGATTTAAAACAGACAGGGAAGAGTCTGATGTTCACTGAAAGTTGTTCCACAGTTTAGGAGCTGCAGCAGCAAAAGCTGCACACTCAGGAGCAGCTGGTCACATGACCTGAGGGATCCAGAGGGTGTGTATGGATGTAGCAGCTCGAATAGATAGAATGGGCCAAGTCCATTAAGAGCTTTCAAATACTGTATTTTCTGGTGTATAAGTCGCAACTTTTTGCATAAATTTGCAAGTCCTGTGACTTATACACTGAAGCGACTAATATACGTTTTTTTTCTCCATAGTTATAACCCAATTTTGGATTTGAAATGCTCATTCATAAACATGAACCAGTAAACATTACCAGTTGCAGCTGCTAGGGAGCCCTCTAAGCTTATATACCCCCCCCCCCCCCACACACACACACACAAATGTTCACAGAGACATTCATTCATTCAACCTTTATTTATACAGGTAATCCCATTGAGCCTCGAGGACTCATTTACAAGAGAGACCTGATTTCAACAAAGAAAGATGACAACAATGGACAACAGCGACAACAACAAACAATTATAAAAAGTCATACTGCAGGGTTTTTTTTTTTTAACAAATAGGATGGCTAAAAGAAAAAGGTAACAAAAAAATATATATATATGTGTGTGTGTGTATATATATATATATATATATATATATATATATATATATATATATATATATATATATATC